TTTGTGATACTCTTGCCATATTCTGATTAGTGTATGTCCTGAAGACCATTTTTTTCCCAAAATTGTCAAAATCAACGCGGGAGTCATTGGTTTCTCGATGAAAGGGGTTTATAAAATCTGAACAAACGAACCAGATGTGGATCAAACAGCAGAATGATTCACCTTTAAATTCATTTTGATGGCAAGGAAGCGGAATTGGAATCACATTTAGGCCATGCACAGCCAACATCAAAGCTAATGTGCATTTACAAGAGAACAAACATTTTCGAGCCCCCCGCCCACCCGCGTAAACATATCCACACACACATATGAAAATATACGTACACACACGCACATACATACGCACACACACACGGATACACACACACACACATAGACAGACACACACACATACAGAGACTCATACACATACACACACACATATATGAAAACCTTCTCTCTCTCTCTTTCTCTCACTTGATTTTCTCTGTCCCTCTCCCTCTCTCTCTCTCTTAAGTTCCCTCCCTCCCTCCCTCCCTCCCTCTCTCTGTCTCTCACTCACCCACCTATCCCTTCATCCCTCCCTCCTTCCCTATCTCCTCACCTCCTTCCCCTCTCTCCCTCCCCATCTCCCTCCATCCCTCCTTCCTCCCTATCCCCTATCTTCCCTCCTCCTTCCCTCTCTCCCTCCCTTCCTCTCCACCTCCTCCCTCCCCCTCCCTTTCCTCCCTCCTTCCCTCCCTCCCCCTCCGTTTCCTCCCTCTCCTCCCTCCTTCCCTCCCTTCCTCCCTCCTCCTCCCTTTCCTCCCTCTCCTCCCCCTCCTCCCTCCTTCCCTCCCTTCCTCCTTCTACTCCCTCCTTCCCTCCCCCTTCCCTTCCTCCCTCCTTCCCTCCTTTCCTCCCTCCCCCCTCCCTTTCCTCCCTCTCCTCTCTCCTTCCCTTCTTTCCTCCCTCTCCCCCTCCCTTCCTTCCTCCTTCCCTCCCTCTCCTCCCTCCTTCCCTCCCTTTCCTCCCTCTCCTCCCTCCTTCCCTCCCTTCCTCCCTCCCCCCTCCCTTCCCTCCTTTCTTCCCTCCTTCTCTCCCTTCCTCCCTCTCTTCCCTCCCTTCCTTCCTCCCTCCCCCCCTCCCTTTCCTCCCTCCCTCCATCCATCCTTCTTCCGTCCCACAAATCTGTCTCATACATCAGGTCGGACTGACTGAAATTGTGATTTAGTAAGGGCTCGCTCAGCATGCGAATTGTATGATGTTCGTCTATCATAATCGGTGTGAAGTCAGAGGAGGGTCAATGCAATCTTTATCGGCTTTGATGTCGTTGCAATTTTTTTTTTTTTTTTTTTTTTTTGAGGGGGGGGTGGTCTGTTTGTTATCTGTGTTAATTTAGGTTTGGGAATATTTTGTTGTTGTTGTTGTTCTTGCTATTGTTGTTGTTATTGTTGTTCTAGTTGCTATTGTTATCGTTCTTGTTGTTATTGGTGTAGGTGGTGGTGTTATTCGTGTTATTGTTATTGTTTTTACGATACTATTTATTTTAAAACTGATTTTCTTATTGTTATTGTTGAAATACATAAGAAGGGTTTGATAATGGCTAAGTTGATAGCTATTATGACATTGTCAAGAATAATATTAGCAATAAGAATAGTGATAATCACTATTTATGATAATGATTATTGCTGTTGTTACTACCAATGACGACGACGATGATATTTAAAGACGCTGATGATAATGATGGTGATAATGATGGTGACTATGATCGTAATTATCATGATATTAATGGTAAGAATTACAGTGGTGATAGTGATAATGATAGTAATGACACTAATGATATTAATAAGACTAATATTAATACTAATAAAAATCTGTATTCATAATAATGTATTATGACAGCAAGCACACATTTGTAACAGTCTAACCACAAAAAAGAAAAATAGAAAATGGAGCAAGTGCGTGATCACCCGCGCTGACTCACTCTCGCTGTGAGAGACATTGATAAAACACTTATTTATCGCCTCGTGCCGTTGCAAGGCAGAGCGAGGGCCCCACTCGTTTCCCTTGCAACAGCATCCCCTCTCTCTGGTACTGGCACCTTCTGTCTCTCGCATTGGCACCCTCTGTCTCTTGCATTGGCATTTGCTGTCCCTTGCAGTGGCACCCTCTCTCTCTGGCATTGGCTCTCTGTCTGTCCGTTTGTCTGTCTGTCTGTCTGTTTGTCTCTTTCTCTCTCTCTCTCTCTCTCTCTCTTTCTTTCTCTCTCTCTCTCTCTCTTGCATAGCCAGCCTCCCTCTCAGCCAGTGACACCATCTCTCCCTTGTAATGCCATTTTTTCTTTCGATGGCAATCTCTTTCCGTTGCATTGGGGAAGAGATGACATAGTGTACCATTGCAGGGGAGAAATCGGATGAGTGTCATTGCAGAGTGAAGAGAGCGAGAGTATCTTAGGGTGCTATTGCAAGTAAAAGAGAAAATTCCACGTCAGTAGAGAACAAAGTTGCCATAGGTGCCATTTTAAGAGAGAGAAAGGTTGCCATTGCAAGGGAAAGAGAAGGCAGCAGGTGGGGATTCCCTTGCACTTATGCCAAAATTAGTGTTAGAATGACACACGTAAATCCCTGTTCGTATTATATTCACCACCAATGTCCCGTGGAGAAGGATGGAGGAGGAGGAAGAGGAAGAGGAGGAGGAGGAGGAGGAAAAGGATGGAGAAGGAGGAGGAGGAAGAGAACGATGGATGATGAAGAGGAGGAGAGGGAAGAGGATGGAGGTGGAGAAGGATGGAGGAGAGAGAGAGAGAGAGAGAGAGAGAGAGAGAGAGAGAGAGAGAGAGAGAGAGAGAGAGAGAGAGAGAGAGAGAGAGAGAGAGAGAGAGAGAGAGAGAGAGAGAGAGAGAGAGAAGAGGAAGAGGAGGAGGAGGAAGAGGAGGAAGAAGTTGGAGAAGAAGAAGAAGAAGAAGAAGAAAAGGAAGAAGAAGATAAGGAGGAAGAGGTGAAAGGGAGAAGAGAAGAAGGAAGTAGATATAAAAGGATGGAAGGTGGAGAAATATAGGGGGGGGGGAGAGAGAGAGAGGGGGAGACGAAGAAGGATCGGGGATCAGCAAGCCACCTCGTCAACCCATTTAGAAAATATTGCAAAGGACCACAGAAGACTTTCCAGGAACAACATTCTTCGTCAGGCTGGCACAGAGGGGTCGCTGAAATACTGAATACCACCCTCCCGTCTCTGTGCCGACTCGTCTCGAAACTTCTCGAAGAGCACTCGGCTTCGGGGCGGGCGCTGACGACTGAGTGTTGGTCGGCGGAGCGGAACTTAGGAGGCCCATTAGCAAGTATCGGCTTTTGGGTGAATGGCTGAAGTCGCTGAAGTCCCTGATAGGCTGAAGTCGCTGAAGTCCCTGATAGGCTGAAGTCGCTGAAGTCCCTGATAGGCTGAAGTCGCTGAAGTCCCTGATAGGCTGAAGTCGCTGAAGTCCCTGATAGGCTGAAGTCGCTGAAGTCCCTGATAGGCTGAAGTCCCTGAAGTCCCTGATAGGCTGAAGTCCCTGATAGGCTGAAGTCCCTGAAGTCCCTGATAGGCTGAAGTCCCTGAAGTCCCTGATAGGCTGAAGTCCCTGAAGTCCCTGATAGGCTGAAGTCCCTGATAGGCTGAAGTCCCTGATAGGCTTAAGTCCCTGAAGTCCCTGATAGGCTGAAGTCCCTCTTTCGAAAGGATGAAGACTTCGAGAGACTTGACTTCTTGAGAGCTGTTGTTCACAATCATTAAGTTACAGTCTCATTTAAATTGCGTGCATATTCATTTTAGTTTTGTTTTTGAATAACTGTTTACTTCTGTTATGTCTGTAAATAAATGTTTGCCACTTTCATGTGTTTTTGAGTAAATGTTTTCCTTAACTATATCTTTAGTATTAAATGGAAATGGCCGCGGATTTTTTTTTCTCTATTTTTTTTCTCTCTATTTCGAATCGCAGAAAGTGAAAGGAGGAAAAGGTGGAGTGAAAGGGAGAGAGATAGATGGAGAAGAATGGAAACTGCCCGAAGGAATGAGGATGAAGATGAAGAGGAGGAGGAGGTGGAGGAGGTGGAGGAGGAGGAGGAGGAGGTGGAGGAGGAGGAGGAGGAGGTGGAGGAGGAGGAGGAGGAGGTGGAGGAGGAGGTGGAGGAGGAGGAGGAGGAGGAGGAGGTGGAGGAGGAGGAGGAGGAGGAGGAGGAGGAGGAGGAGGAGAAGGAGGAGGAGGAGGAGGAAAAGGAGGAGGAGGAGGAGGAGAAGGAGGAGGAGGAGGAGAAGGGGGAGGAGGAGGAGGAGAAGGAGAGAGGAGGAGAAGGAGAAGGAGGAGGAAGAGGAGGAGGAGGACAAGGAGGAGGAGGAGGAGGAGGAGGGAGATGGAGAAGGATAGATGAAGAGGAGGGAAGGATGAAGGAGAAAAATGGAGAAGGGTGGAGGGTGGCGAAGAAGAGAGGAGGAGTAGGAGAAAAATGGAGAAGAAAGATAGAGGAGACGGATGGAGAATACAGGAGAGAGGCGGCGAGGAAAGAAAAAGGAGAAAGAGGAAGGTTAGTGAAGAAAAGTGGATGAGGTGGATGTAAGAGAGAAAGGCCAGAGGATAAGAATGAACGGAAAAGACGGAGAAAAATAAAGAAAAAGAATAAGGATAGAGGAGGATAGATTTCGAGGATTAAGGATGGAGGAGCAGAAGCAGAAAAGAGATAATGATGAGCAAGACAAATAAGGTGGGAGAGAAGTAGGAGAGGGAGAAAGTGATACAAAAAAACGAAAAAGAAATGAAAATATTGAAAGAAGAGTAAGAAAGGAAAGAGGAAAGAGAAAAGAGATAAGGAAAAGAAGCGAAATTAAGAAAGAAAAGATGAAATGGGAAAATATAATTCAAGGAAACTTGACTTCGCTT